ATTATTATTACCCAATCAGCTTTTTATGTATTTAGGGTGTCAGCAGGGCTTGCTGGCAACCCTTCAATAATGTTGCACTCTCATCGCATTTTCCTACTTTCATTTGTACTACTATTTGTTTCATTATTGTAAAATCTTTATTAAATTAAATTAAATTAAATTAAAAAATAATAACAATAAAAAGAAATGCTGTGGCACGCGCGCTGTGCGCGCGTGCCATTTTGTTTTTTATGAAGTAGAAATGTATAGAATGATGCAATAACACGCAGTGTGCATGTGATCATAGATACAGTATACAGGGATTGGAAACACCCGGATAATTAATGGTTGATGCGCGTTACGGGTTAATAATTTTATTCAAAATGGCCGCCCTATAGATGTTAAAATTACAAACCCTGTTTATTTCATATATCTTGACGTTGCAGTATCACTGACACTTGATAACTATTCTACAATGTAAAAACTAATAGTTGGAATCAAATAAAAGTTGCATGCATAGCAAGTTTATCAAAAATAATCAATAAACGGCAGTATTCTTCACTTGCAGAAACAGCCTTCCAAATATCCACAGGACAAAAATAGTCACTTCATTGTATTGGAGAGATTCCTAGGGAACAATACTAATGCCACAGATTTTTGTTATTAGTCATAGTGAAGTTGCCAGAGGGAGAAATTCCACCGTAGGTCCAACTAGATGTCAATGTTACCAAAGCTCATATTAGCAGCAGTAGCATGATCTAAAAGGGGATAGTAAGGACAGTGAAGTATGATTAAAAATAGCACTATTACTACTGTGATCACAATCTACTGGTTTAAAAATGGTTAAATTTTTTTTTGTCAAAATAGCTAATGTAAGAATAATCTAGAGGAAACAAGCCTGTTTCCTTTGAGGTCAATACTTAATTTAAAAATAAAAAATAAGAGCCCCCTAATTGTCGATTGTTTCAAAATGTTTGCTAGTGGTGTGGCAACTGTGCCATTGCCATAGTTCTACTATAGTTTACTTCCAAAATATTAAGAAAAACATAAAAGAAATAGCACTAAAAATCACAGTTTTCATGACTATGTATAACAAAAGGAACATATAGGAATGCTTAAAAATGATTACATGTAAATTTACCAGAAGATGAAGGATTAGAAGGTGGAGGAGGTGTATCAGCTCTGTCTGTTCCATTTGCTTCATTACTAGGAGCAGTAGCAGCATGAGCTACAAAATTATAATCATCATTTATTATTATAATATTATTATACAACTTACAAGGTCTTTGTCTTAATTGTGTCCCATCATCAGTACCTAAACATACATGTACATGTAAATATTAGCAAGTTACATCTCATCATAACAGCTGTTGTGTCATCAATGTAGAAGCTAGAGGGAGAAAAGATCTCAAATCATACGAGAATGGATATATTGCAAAGAGTACCAGTTTATAGAATACCTTCGAAAGAGAGCTTTGTGCAGCCAAAGTTTTCCTAGAATGGGGACTACTCAAATCTTAAAAAGTCATTAGACAGATGACTTTCTCGAGACTTTTCTGAAGAATATCCCTGGATATCTATTTTTAACCCGTAACACGCCTAGGTTTTTTGACAATTTTTGTTGTCTCATTGAAATGTTAACGAAAAGATCACGTGATACCGGGCCGTTTCCAATCCCTGTTGTATACAGTGGCGGATCTATGGGGGGGCCAGGGGGGGCAATGCCCCCCCAAAAATTTTTTGGAGTAATGTAAACTTTGGTTTACCTATGTAAACTGTGAAGCAGCTGCAGTACTGGACTATGTAAACAATCTTTAAACCACAATAGAGCTCATTTTAACAGGCTTAGTCTTTTTTGTAATTTTTACTTCCCTAAAAGTTTTGCACAAGCTTAGTTGACCACACCCCCTAATTACCCCCTCTCATCTC